CACCTCCACCGCCACCCCCACTCCCTCCGCCGCCTCCACATCCACCGCCACCGCCCCCACTGGCCCCACCCGCTCCCTTGCCCCCCTTGCCCTTGCCAGAGCGGCGTCTCCCGCTAGGGGCAGACGCCGCACCGACCGACTCAAGACCAACGAGGTCGGCCGCAGCGGCAGAGGCGACAGAGGGCAGGAGAGGGGAAGGAGAACACCCCTCAAAGATGGGGGCGCGGGGGTCACCTCGAGAGGCTCCTACAGCAACTATGCTCTTCTCTGCTGCAAGGAGGGCCTTCTCGAGGCTGTCGACTGTGAGGGTGGTGGGACAGACCGCGAGGAAGTGGTCCCGGACTACACGAAGGGAGTCCGGGAGGCGAGTGACTAAGAAGTAGAGAGTGATGTACATGGGGGGGGGGTTCTTGGCGCAGAAGTCAGCAGGAAGCGCAGCGCGGTAGCGAGTGTCACTAGTGCGGAGGTGCGTGATGAGATCAGCGACAGTGGGAAAGGCGGCAAGGTCAGGGAAGAGGAAGGGGAGCATGAGGCGGCTCAGTGCAGCAGTGGCAGGGGAGGAGTAGCGCGCAACTACAGCGTCGTACAAGGTCTGAGCACTCTTGTACTGGCTAAAGTGCGCGCGCTCAGCGGTAGGCAGGTGGCGACGCACAGCAAGACGTGCAGCAGCATCGCGCGTGGCCCACTTAGAGCGAACAGTGGTGTCAGCATCAGCAGTAGGGGCAGGGACTGCGCCAGAGGTGAGGTCAAAGAGAGACAGACCGTCCGCCCTGTCGCACTGTAAAAACAGCTGCAGGTCGTCGAGCCAGACCTCAAAGTCAATGGCTCGACCCTCAGCGTCAAAAGCGAGGACACTGGGTGTAGCCATGACGAGGACAGTGGAGCAGTGCAAGCAGTAGGGGAAGGGTACGCAGTGACAGCAGTGTAGTGCTCACCGGGCAGGGCAGGTCGGGCGGCTCGGGAGGAAGGTCGCCTGGCGACACGGCCGCTAGGCTGCTGGGCGGCTCGGCTCCCGGGCGGCTCGGCTGCTGCTGGGCGGCTCGGCCGCTGCTGGGCGGCTCGGCGGCTGCTGGGCGGCTCGGTGGCTCCGGGCGGCTCGGCTGCTGCTGGGCGGCTCGGCTGCTGCTGGGCGGCTCAGCGGCTCCTGGGCGGCTCGGCTGCTCCGGGCGGCTCGGCTGCTGCAGTTGGGCGGCTCGGCTGCTGCAGTCGGGTGGCGCGAGAGCAAGGGGCGGCGGGGCCGTTAGTGCTGGGGCGGCGGGGCCGCGAGACCAGGGGCGGCGGGGCCGCGTAGTAGGGGCGGCTGGGGCCGGGAGCGCTTGGGGCGGCCGGGCCGCGAGATCAGGGGCGGCAGGGCCGTGAGCGCTGGGGCGGCGGGGCCGCGAGATCAGGGACGGCGGGGCCGTGAGATCAGGGGCGGCGGGGCCGGGAGCGCTGGGGCGGCGGGGCCGGAAGCGCTGGGGCGGAGGGGCCGCGAGATCAGGGGCGGAGGGGGGGGCCGTGAGCGCTGAGGCGGCGGGGCCGTGAGATCAGGGACGGCGGGGCCGCGCGCGCTTGGGCGGCGGGGCCGCGAGATCAGGGGCGGCGAGGGCCGCACTTTCAGGGTCAGCGGGGCCGCGAGATCAGGGGCGACGGGGCCGCGAGATCAGGGGCGGCGGAGCCGCGTGAGGAAGGGCGGCGAGGGCCGCGAGAGCAGGGCGGCGAGGCCGCTAAGGCGGCGCGAGGGCGGGCAGCGGGGCGCGGGCGCTAAGGCGGCGCTCGGGCTGCTAGGGCGGGCGGCTCGCTAGGGCGGCGTTCGGGCCGTTAGGGCAGATCGAAAAAAAAAAGTAAGAGCAAGGGCCCGGAGCGCGCTCCGGGCAGAAAAAAAAAGGTTCGATGTGGTGGGCCCTAAGCACAGTTCCCACGTGGGAACCTGCTCGATACCATGAGAAAGTTAGAACGAGAATGAAATGACTATGAATGAAGTGAGTACAAATAGGAAACTCTAGTTGGGTTGTACCCCCTATGGGATACCCCACTATAGCCTACACAAATAAGTAAGCTATAATATTATGACAACTACCTCCACTACAGACGGGCATACTAACCAAAATGACTAGCGCATTACTTATGTTTCTAGAAATACACTTAGTACCATATTTTTGCTATCCCACTAGATTAGGCCTTCTACTTCAACAACACTAGGTTATAATTTTTTTTATCCACATCATTTGGGAGATTTCAGAGTTCCAGTTCCGCCTTGTACCTACACACAAGGGTGCATACTGACCTTACCAGCCGACACATTATTCTTTCTGTACAAATACCGTGAATACCATATGTATTCCCATTTCTTTTAAATTATACTATTCCCCACCCCTGTACCATGTTTTAACCTATCGAATATATGTAATTAAGCAAATATAGACATTCCAGTCCTGGTTGGTACCTGCACTATAGGCGCGCATACCGACCAAACTGACCTGCGCATTACTTATGTTTGTAGAGATGCAATAAGTACCATATTCTTGCCAGTCCACTAGATTAGGCCTTCTACTTCAAAAACACTAGGTTATAACCTTTCCGATCCATATAATCTGTGAGATTTCAGAGTTCAAGTTCCGCTTTGTACCGACACACAAGCGTGCATACTGACCTTACCAGCCGACGCATTTTCTCTCCGTAAAAATACAGTGAATACCATATGTATTCCCATTTCTTTTAAATGATACCATTCCCCACCCCCATACCATGTTTTAACCTATCAGATCTATGTAATTTGGCAGATAAAGACATTTCAGTCGTATATGGTACCTGCACTACAGGCGCTCATACTAACCAAACTGACTAGCGCATTATGTATGTTTGTAGAGATGCAGTTAGTGCCATATTCTTGTTAGTCCACTAGGTTAGGCCTTCGACTTCAACATCACTTGGTTATAACATTTCCAATCCACATAATTCGGGAGATTTCAGAGTTTCAGCTCCGCCTTGTACCTACACACAAGCGTGCATACTGACCTTACTAGCCGACACATTTTTTTCTCTGTACAAATACAGTGAATATGTATTCCCATTTTCCTTAAATTATACCATTCCCCACCCCTGTACCATGTTTTAACCTATCGGATCTATGTATTTTGACAGATATAGGCATTCCAGTTTTACATAGTACATGCACTACAAACGCGCATACCGACCAAACTGACCAGCGCATTACTTATGTTTGTAGAGATGCAGCAAGTACTATATTCTTGCCAGTTCACTAGATTAGGCCTTCTACTTCAACAATACTAGGTTATAACCTTTTCGATCCACATAATTTGGGAGATTTCAGAGTTCCAGTTCCGCCTTGTACCTACACACAAGCGAACATACTGGCCTTACCGGCCGACGCATTTCCTCTCTGTACAAATACAGTGAATACCGTATGTATTCCCTTTACCTTTAAATCATACAATTTCCCACTTCCCTACCATGGTTTAACCTATCGGATATATGTAATTTGGCATATAAAGACATTTCAGTCGTACATGGTACCTGCACTACAGGCGCGCATACCGACCAAACTGACCAGCGCATTACGTATGTTTGTAAAGATGCAGTTAGTGTTATATTCTTGCCAGTCCACTAGATTAGGCCTTCTACTTCAAGAACACTAGGTTATAACCTTACCGATCCATATAGTTTGGGAGATTTCAGAGTTCCAGCTCCGCCTTGTACCTACACACAAGCGTGCGTACTGACCTTACCGGCCGACGCATATTCTCTCCGTACAAATACAGTGAATACCGTATGTATTCCCATTTCCTTTAAATGATACCATTTTCCACCCCCCTACCACGTTTTTGTTGAGTGCAGAATGTGGTTCGCACGTCAACCTACCGCCTATTCGCTGACGATAAAAGAAAATGAGAGTTTTTGTTTTAAGGTGATTTGTGGATTGTGAGGAGCACATTTGTGTGCTTTACATTTGTGCGTTTACGGTTTGTGAATCGCCTTAGCGGTTCATGAGTTATGTGCATTTCTATATGTGAGTGCATTCCATGAATGTTCATGAGTTTCTGTGAGAGCGCATGAGTTCTCGTGAGTTTCGGTAAGTTCGCGTAACTTCGCGATTGCTCATGAGTCTGCGTGTGCAATCATGATTTCTCATGTGTTTTTGTGAGTTTTCATTAGAGTTCATGAGAGTTCATATTTTTGTGAGTTTTTCGAGTGTGCCGAGTGTTTTGCGAGTTTGACTTTTTCGTGCTGGTGAAGGTCAACCGAGCGCGAAGGTCAGGGCCCGCGCGTGGGGTCTTGACACGCGCTTGTGGCCCCTCAGGCCTCATGCGTGTGCCTCGCACTTTGGTGAGCGTGCACAGTGCGCACGTCCGCAAAAGGACAGGGCAAATGATTGCCCTGCCTTGGAGCAGAACAGCGCACGTTCGTGCGCTGTACACATGATGCCCACCCCCTGCACGCGAAAAAGCCCTGCACATTTCGGAAACCTTACACCCGTGGGTTTTTTGCCCTGGTGTTGCACCTATGGTATAAGCACCTGAGACCACTTGCATCTACCAGGTGAATACTCCCAAACTGGGCAAGACAGCAAAAGACAAACATCAGACGGTTGGCCTGTCCCTGTTTTTAAGTCAGAAACAGAAGCTACGAAATGTAAGGACAAAATTCGTGAAACGTCGCCACCCAAAATTGATGTTACGTCATGCCACCTGTGCATCAACCAGGTGCGCCTATCAGTTCGTGTTTGTGAGGTAACTCCGACGTGTACATTGCCAATGCTCGGTACATGCCCCTTGTTAGCCTCACAGTCCGCAAACAACACACGTCACTATTCGTGGATGTGGTTACCCAGTCTCATAATCTCTTGAAACTGCGAGAGATGCATGTTCATCTCGCAGCAATTGCGAAACCTCGCACACTCTCGAGACATAGTGACTAATCCGAGCGCCATTGCACCAGCATAAATCCACTCGACAACCAGCACTGCAATTCATGCTTAGTTATCTTAACATTCTCGCCAGATGCCTCGTCTCTACCATAGGTCTCAGCTTGCGCTGCACATCAAGCGGGCCATTTGTGCCCATCATCAGGCAAACCCTCTGCTGCGCCACGTGGACCTCGCACGATGGTGTTTCACGCGTTTTGGTGTGAGGCCCGACCGTTCGACCATTGGTCGCGTTCTCAAAGGCGCCGACCGGTGGGACGTTCCTGATGACGCCGTGGACGCCATTCGCGTCCGCGGCGGGGCATACCCCGAACTGGAGCGCTCGATGGCACGATGGATTTCGAATGCAGGCCCCGCTGGCGTCCCTCTGACCCTCGCCACTATTCGCGACCATGTTGCGACGATGGCGCGTGCGAACGGCGTTCCGCCGACTTTCCGTTGCTCCATCGGCTGGGTCCGCCGTGCGCTGCGCCGCCAGGGAGTACGGTGCATGAGCGCGGTCGGCGAGGCGGCCGACCAGGATCTCAACGCAGTGCGCACCACTAAGGAGAAGCTTCCTCAGCTTCTCATGCATCTCGGCGTGCGCCCGCGTGATACTTTCAACTTCGACGAGACTGCGCTGTATATCAGCGTGCTTCCTCACAAAACGTACGGCACGGGCAGGTCGGCCGGGCGGAAGGTTTCGAAGGACCGCCTGACCGTCGGCTTCTTGGTTAATGCGGACGGGACGCACGCATTCCGTCCGCTTGTCATCTCCAAGGCTAAGCGGCCACACGATTTCAGGCTGGATTTCGACCCCGAGGAGTATTGCTACTGGCGCAACACCGCTAAGGGGTGGATGACCAAAGCCGTGAGTCCGTTTTTACAATTTTTAAACGCCTCGTCAGTATCGTACCCGATGTTGCCTGTTTTTGTGATCATGAAAAACCCCCATAACAAAAATTTGACAAACAAACTTGTTACCGCCTGTGCTTCTACAACGCCTCGTTATAACATGTACCCGATGTCGGCTATGTTTTTGATCATGACAAAGCCGCCTAACCTACCCCAACTTTCCCTACACCTCTTTGTGTTACAGCTCTTCACGCACTTTTTTGAGCAGCTCGACACCGCTATGTACGCAGAGGGCCGCCAAGTCGTCGTGCTGCTCGACAACGCGAGCAGTCACACACTGACAACCGAGGGCGCCGAAACCGAGGATCTATTCGGGTTCCGCACGCGAAAGCTCAGTAACGTGCGCCTCGTCTACCTGCCGCCGAACACCACCTGCTTCACGCAGCCACTCGACCAGGGGATGATCGCCATGACGAAGGCGCGGTACCGCCAGCACTGGCTCCGCGCCTTCACCGGCATGTGGACTGCTGATGGCGCGACTTCCGCGGCGGCAAGGTTCAAGCCGAACCTCCGTCGCGTGCTGGAATGGCTCCATGACGCGTGGATGAATATCCCGCACGTCACTATCCAGCGCTGCTGGTGGCGCACCGAGTGCCTACCGCGGGCGTGGGCGATGGAACTCCCGCACGTGGAACAAAGCGGCGACTCACAAGTCCAGGCTGGGGGTGACATTGGCCTGGACGAGGAGCTGAACGACGTAGGCTTTTTAATCGATCGACTCGGCCTCGGGCCGTCCGCGCTGCCTGCTTCCGAGTTCGTCGGAATTGACGACAACCAGCCGACGTGCGCCGAGCCGGGCGAGGACCCCCTGGCGCGGGAGCCAGCGTCGGCGCAGACGGCGAATATGTGGGAGGCGCCGGCGGCGACGCAAGCGGTGTACGACGATAACAACCCTGCGACGCGCGAAGCTCGTCGCACTGCATGCGCCGCCTGCGAGATGCTCATTGGGTACGCGCGTGCGACGTGCATCACGCCGAGAGATTTGTGCGCGCTGTTTGACATCCGCAACCCCATGATCATCGCGCGGATGGAGCGTGCAAGCCCGGCACTTAATCTTAACGCTACTCCGCCGCCAGCGCCGACACACGAGGACACCCCGCCGGCTGAGACTCCACGTCGCCGCGGTCGCCTTTTGCCGGCGTGGATGGCGGTGCCGACCCCTGACTGGGTTGCCCAATCTGCTCGCCGGCAGGAGCTTATCGACGCTGGCGCTCCCGCCGTGATGAGCGGATATCTCGCTGCGGCAGAGTGGATGAGGCTGTGAAATTCACTCTGCATTGTGCAAAATTCAGCATTTGCACAAGTGTGCACGACTCATGCACAAATGTGGTAAACGGTGACTGCATAACGCAGCAGGGCCGGGGAGGGGGGGGGGGGGGGGGGTTGGGGAGGTTGTTTGTTTGTCGCGTCAGAGACAGTTGTGGCTATCCCATTCGTTCATTGATGTTTGTGATGAAGGGAGAGGTGAATTGTAATTGCATGTGATAGTTGGGTCTCTATAAATGTGGTAACCCAGTGCATTAGCGCGCAACAAAGGACGCCGCCCAACACTATACATGGAAAAAACAAACATGTTACCGCCTGTGCTTTTTATAAGCACCCAACGGCCCAGGCGATGTTGACGAACCATGCGAAATGCGCAGATCGGTTATAAGCCCAGAGGACAAGGGAACGACGGGGGACTATAACGCGCATCAGGTGTACAACACAAACGAAATTTCGGTTGTGCATAATTACGCGCGTGGAGGAGTGCGCGTCGGTTTCGGGGGGTGCCGAGGAATCTCGAAGGGTGCTCGGGATTGACTCGAGATTTCAGTTGAATAACTGAATCTCGAGCTTTGACTTTTGTGACGTGGCCAACAGGATACTTTGCTGGGAAGTTGCGCGTCGAGCGGGACAAATTTGTTTCAGGTACAAAACGGTAAATTCCGTTTTGCAACGGGAAAACGGTTTTCCCACACGAGGCTTCATGAGTGTTAACGAGAATTCATGAGTGCTCGCGAGGGGAGTCAGCAGGGGCGTTTGGATGAAGTGCCATTTGAAATCAGTTATTCTAATGAAGCGGATCAAGCCAAATGCAGCTGAAGTTTGACAACCGTTTTACCAAGACAACATGTTATATTACAGTTTTATAACTGTTTAATGTTCGTCTTGTGTTTGCTTTAGTTCATGCTTAGTGCCTTCTATAAATGTGTGCTTGTGTTTCATTGTAATCAACTTTTTGGAGTGAGAATTTTCTCTATCGACGTATTGACGCGAGGAGAAATTTCTGCATACAAGCCAATCAGTCGTTATCGCTTCCGCAATTGTGCTTGGGAGTGCTCCAGTGCACACAATTGTATTTACGCTTGAAAAGTCCTTCAACAAACACGGACCATTGGATAGGGGCTGGTTCTACCAGGCACCCAAGGACCCTTGGAGGTGACCCCATGAGGACTATCTAGCGTTGATTAAAGGTGTGCTTAGAGCTTCTAGGTCCCACATTGTGTGAGAATGTTATTCTCTAGCCTATAGTGGGGTGCTCTATAGCGAGTACAACCCATCTAGGGTTTGCTATATGTATCCTCATTGCTGCTATTGAAACCCCTCTTTGGCTAAACTTTCACTTGCCTACCTAGGACTTACCTAGCTATGGCTCCTAACTCTACCTACTACTCTTTCATGGTATTAGAGCACTCACGCTCCCGGCCTGGTAGAATCTCCGGTAGTCGCCAGTCGCCTGTGGGTCAGTTGCTCCGGTCTGGAGGCTGCAATCTCCGCGGAGCCAGTTACTCCTGTAGTCCGGGCCTTTGCTCCGGTAGCCACTGAGCCAGCAGCTCCTGTGTGTCTGCAGCTTCAGCAGTCGCCTCCCATCTTCTCTCCTCCACAGTCTCTCCTCCTCCTCACTTGCCCTCTGTGATTAGCTCTAGCTTTGCTTACCTTTGTTAACTCGTGCTCTATACCTGCTTGCTCATTGTACTGATTACACCCCACTTTGGCTATGGGGGTGTGTGTCAGAACATTATAGCTTACTCTTTTCTGTAGGCTATAGTGGGGTATCCCATAGGGGGTACAACCCAATTAGGGTTTCATATTTGTACTCACATCATTTCTTAGTGCACTCATTCTCGTTCCGTTTTCACATGGTATAGAGCAGGTTCCCCTGTGGGAACTGTGCCTAGGGCCCACCACTCGAAATTTATTTTTTTTCCTGCCCGAAGCGCACTCATCCCGAGTCGCGCCTCGGGCCACTCCTTCCCCGAGCCGCCCTAGCGGCCGGCCTTACCCTCGCGGCCCCGCCGCCCATTGAACGCGGCCCCGCCGCCTAAGCGCTCGCGGCCCCGCCGCCCAAGCACTCGCGGCCCCCGCCGTCCCTGATCTCGCGGCCCCGCCGCCCCAGCGCTCCCGGCCCCGCCGCCCCTGATACGCGGCCCCGCCGCCCAAGCGCTCGCGGCCCCCGCCGTCCCTGATCTCGCGGCCCCGCCGCCCCAGCGCTCCCGGCCCCGCCGCCCCTGATACGCGGCCCCGCCGCCCAAGCACTCGCGGCCCCCCCGCCGTCCCTAATCTCGCGGCCCCGCCGCCCCAACGCTCCTGGCCCCGCCGCCCCTGATACGCGGCCCCGCCGCCCCAGCGCCCGCGGCTCCGCCGTCCCTGATCTCACAGCCCCGCCGCCCCAGCGCTCACGGCCCCACCGCCCCTGATCTCGCGGCCCCGCCGCCCCAGCGCTCCCGGCCCCGCCGCCCCTGTTACGCGGCTCCGCCGCCCCAGCGCTCCCGGCCCCGCGGCCCCTGTTACGCGGCCCTCGCCGCCCCAGCGCTCCCGGCCCCGCAGCCCCTGATACGCGGCCTCGCCGTCCCTGATCTCACGGCCCCGCCGCCCCAGCACTCACGGCCCCGCCGCCCCTTGCTCTCGAGCCGCCCAACTGCAGCAGCCGAGCCGCCGGACCGCCGAGCAGCAGTGCAGCCGAGCCGCCCTTGCACCCGAGCGGCCTGGGAGCCGAGCCGCCCTTGCACCCGAGCCGCCTGGGAGCCGAGCCGCCCGAGAGCAGAGTTGCTGAGTAGCCGAGCCGCCTTTTCTTCCGAGTTGCCCGACCTGCCCTGCCCGGTGAGCACTGTACCGCTGTCGCTGCGTGCCCTTCCCCTACTGCTTGCACTGCTTCACTGTCGTCGTCATGGCTACCCCTAGTGTCCTCACTTTTGACGCTGAGGGTCGAGCGGTAGACTTCGAGGTCTGGCTAGACGACCTGCAGCTGTTTTTACAGTGCGATAGGGCGGACGGTCTGTCTCTCTTTGACCTCACCTCTGGCGCCGTCCCTTCCCCTGCTGCTGATGCTGACGCCACTGTTCGCTCGCAGTGGGCAAGCGCGATGCTGCTGCACGTCTTGCTGTGCGTCGCCACCTGCCTACCGCTGAGCGCGCGCACTTTAGCCAGTACAAGAGTGCCCAGACCTTGTACGACGCTGTAGTTGCGCGGTACTCCTCCCCTACCACTGCTGCACTGAGCCGCCTCATGCTCCCCTTCCTCTTCCCTGACCTTGCCGCCTTTCCCACTGTCGCTGATCTCATCACGCACCTCCGCACTAGTGACACTCGCTACCGCGCTGCGCTTCCTGCTGACTTCTGCGCCAAGAACCCCCCCCCCATGTACATCACTCTCTACTTCTTAGTCACTCGCCTCCCTGACTCCCTTCGTGTAGTCCGGGACCACTTCCTCGCGGTCTGTCCCACCACCCTCACAGTCGACAGCCTAAAGAAGGCCCTCCTTGCAGCAGAAAAGAGCATAGTCGCTGTAGGAGTCTCTCGAGGTGACCCCCGCACCCCCATCTTTGAGGGGTGTTCTCCTTCCCCTCTCCTGCCCTCTGTCGCCTCTGCCGCTGCGGCCGACCTCGTTGGTCTTGAGTCGGTCGGTGCGGCGTCTGCCCCTAGCGGGAGACGCCGCTCTGGCAAGGGCAAGGGGGGCAAGGGAGCGGGTGGAGCCAGTGGGGGCGGTGGAGGTGGAGGTGGAGGCGGCGGAGGGAGTGGGAGTGGCGGTGGAGGTGGTAGCGGGGGTGGGGGTGCTAGTGGCGGCAGTGGAAGCGGGGGTGGCGGCGGCGGTGGCGGTGGTAGCGGAGGTGGCGGAGGTGGCGGCGGTGGAGGCGGAGGTGGGGGAGGTGGAGGTGGAGGCGGGGGTGCCGGAGGTGGAGGTGGTAGGAGTGGAGCTTCGCAGCGGAGCGGCACTGGGGGAGGTCAGCGCCAGCAGCAGCAGCAGCAACAGCGTTCTCGCGACGTCCCCACCCCTCAGCAGCTCCGTGAGTGGTACACGCAGCGTCAGCGCGGTGGGGGTTTTGGTCCCTGCACCTACGTTCTCCGCACTGGCGACCGCGCTGGAGAGCAGTGTGGGGGCACCCACACCGCCCAGCGCTGCTTTGGCCGCCTGACGGACGCTTGGCGCCAGCAGTTCCCGGAGGCCGCGGAGATCCCCCGCTGGGGAGAGCTGTCTAGGGCTGGTGTAGCTATCTTTGATCTTGATTTTGATGCTATCCTTGCTGCCATGTATGCTGTGACCATTAGTGATGAGGGTGACTGTTACCGGTGTTTCCCGCCCGACCCGAGCATTGGTACGGCTGCTCTAGGTGCCGGTGAGGCTTCTGCTCTAGGTGCCAGTGCGTCTGTGCTCTCAGGTGCTGGTGAGGCTGCTCTCTCAGGTACTAGTGCGTCTGCGCTCTCCGGTACTGCGTCGGCTTCGGCCTCCTACACCTTCACTCTTGACTCTGGAGCGTCTCGCTCTTTCTTTCGGGACCGCACCACACTCACGCCGCTTAGTCGGCCGGTTGCGGTTTCCCTGGCTGACCCCTCTGGGGGTCCTGTCCTGTCTCGCTTCTCCACAATCCTCCCGTGTCCGGCGGCTCCCTCTGGCACCCTGTCTGGTCTCTACCTCCCCTCGTTCTCTACGAACTTGGTGAGTGGTGCTGACCTACAGGATGTGGGAGTCCACCAGTTCACCCCTGCTCGTCAGCGAGTGACGCACTGCACAGAGGCTAGCACGGGTCGTCACCTGGCTACGTTTACACGTCAGCCAGGGTCGAGCCTGTACACACTGACCACTTCTTCTCCTCCAGGTGCTGAGTCTCGTAGAGTCCCTTCGTCTGGTCAGGTGTTTCCTGCAGCGTCCAGGTCTGGTCCTGAGTCTGCCCCCTGTTCGTGTCGCCGTCTGTCTCACGAGACCCTCCTCTGGCACCACCGCCTTGGCCACCCCTCTCTGCTTCGGCTCAGAGGCATGGCCTCCCGTCTTCTTGTGTCTGGTCTC